ATATATATATATATATATTGGGGGGGTTACTGATAAATCAATTTGTTTCATTTGAAAAAAATCAAATTTCCCCCAATTTGAACATGTTTTAATATAAAACCTTTCACCTGAAGAATCGATGTGCATTTGAAAACCAGTAAAAACGAAGTGCACTGTTATAAAAATCACTTGTAATAAATTGGGATGTTCTACCCTGCAAGATGTTTATAAAAGAAGTCTGAATTGTATCAGACACTCTTAAGAGATAAATTTGTTTTGTTTTTAACTGCAGAACAAGTAAGGTTCAATCCATGCAGMAATAAAATCCAGTCAACTGAAACTAATTTCAGCCTTTCCCAGTGGTTTGTGATCGAAGTAGTGAAGGAAGATTTTGTGTTTAACTTGTTTTTATTCTCTCAGATGAATGGGAAGAAACAAAAGGGGGATCCACCAACAAGTGTTAAAACTTTACTGCTTGTTTAGTTTAGGTGGGCCTRAGGAATAAAAAGAGTTTCTTATAGAGTCGTGCTCTGTGCTGTGTGYTGATGGGACCTTAGCACTGATTTAATTACACGCCTGTTTCATTAATTARCTGGTTGGACACGCAGTTGTTACGGACAGCTTGTCAGGAAAAAAATAAAAATTAAAAAACTCACCAAACGTACCTTCTTTTTGGCGTTACAGTGGCAGCACACAGTCCACAGGTACTTGAGGGTTCTCCACAGGAGGATTATGAAGAGACCCCCAAAGAAAGTGACCATGGAGGAGGCTAGGAAAGCCCACCACATCCGCTGGCTGTCACAGGGCATGTCTGGCGAGGACGGGTTGAAAAAACTGGGTCTGGGTATGTGGATCGGAGGGTCCGGGATGAATTTCTCTCGGCTTTTAGCCATTATCGACTTCTGGTCACCTGTCAGCCCCCAATCAAAAAAAAAAAAAAAAAAAAAATCAAGTCAGATTCAGGCGCTTTGGGGAGCTCCGGCCAGCGCCCCCTGATGCCCCGACGGCTCGCGCATGTTTAACTCAGTCTCCTCGCTCTGTTCTGTCCCACCTGCCCCTCRTAAAGCTGTAAAGTTGGGATGGAAGCAGGATGTCGGGAAATATGAGAGAAAAAATAAAAAATAAACTTCAGAAATCAAGATGTCAGTCGTGCGCGTTCGCGCGTCATCCGTTTGATGTGCGCGTAAAAATCACATCATGTCCGAGCACCAGAAAACTGGTTTCTCACAATCATAACGAATACACTGCGGTTGATTTCTTCTTTCAAATGAGTGTGGTGAGGGGGAAAGATGTTTTCTCCCCTCGGGTCGATGATTCACTCACTCCTCCACCTTGTTTTCAGCAGGTCTTCTTCAGCAACGCGCCGCGCGCTGTTCAACGCGCTCCTCGGATTAAAGCTTTTACAAAATAAACAGCCACCAGTCACTGAAATATCAACCAAACAGGCGGTTTCTTGTCGGGTGGTTTCGGTTTTTCCTGCAGCCGCCTGTCACATCATTTGCTGGAAGATGGCAGAGCAGATTTACAGGTAGCAGAGGGGGMGGAGCCAGCAGCAGCAGACGTAGATGCTTCCAGTTATTTATAGGAACGATTCATCAATGGTTTATCACAAACACCTCCTGAAAGTTTATATTCACAGATGTTGAAATCTTCCAACTCAGTCAAACCCCATCCAMTTGCATTAAACTTTCATTTGCGTCTGAATAACTTATAGAAACGTTTCAGTTTTGGAGTGAAATGGTTTAGAATCAGGCATTAAACAAACAAATGGGTTTTAAATAAAAGGTCCAAATGACAACAGCGATGAAAATGGTGCTTTTAAATAACTAGTAAATTGTGTTTGTGGTAAATAAGCAGCTGTAATAAAGTCATAAACGAACATGTTACTCACCTGTAGCGGTGACTTTACTCCCCCTTGTGGACAAATATTTCACAATTTTTTTTATTTATTTTTTTTTTTATTTTGGTACCTTTTAAGTACCATTTCTGGTAGAATTGCCTGCCTTGTCAGGAGAATTGGTTTATAGCAGAAGTTCCCAGCCCTGGTCCTCATGGAACACCATCCTGCATGTTTTAGTTGTTTCCCTGCTTTGACACACCTGATTTGTATTAACAGGTGATTAACAAGCTTCGGAAAACCTGTTGCAGAGCAGAGGAACAACTAAAACATGCAGGATAGTAGTGGCCCTTCAGAACCAGATCCTAATGCAACAAAGGATATTATATTGACTCAGTAATTTACTCAAACAAGGAGAGTGTAATAGAACTAATACTTGTATGTTTAAGCTAGTAATTCATGACATCCTAAAACCTAAAAAAAACTGGATTAAACCATCCTATGACCTAAGTTTTCATGACATGCTGTTCATCTACAGATAGAACGATTAAAGTCAGAACAAGATTTGCTAACAATAATCATTTTTAGATATCACTTGTGTTTATCTTTGTGTTTTCCSTTGACCTTGTATCAAATCTTGCTAAGATGACATAATGGTGTTTGTTAATATATATATGAGGCCTCTCGAGACACAGGGAGTAGTGTGGAGAGACAGTGACAGAGAGAAGCAGAGGCACAGAGACAGGCCAGGTTGTTCTCTGTGTTTCCTGTTGTTACAAAAAAACTCAGCTGATCATCTCACGGAGTACCTTCATTCTTGGACCACGTATTTCTGTCTTTGTTAAATAAATATTGCCATAACAGAGAGAAATGCAATCGACATAATGAATAGTTATTCAGGTTAAAAATAAAAAAACTATGCATACATAAACAATTAAAATTTGTTTTAATGTTTTAGGAATTTCATTTAGAAACAGACCTTATTCCAAGTGTTTCATATTACTTAGTAAAACCTTCGAGCATGAATCAAGAGATACCTGTAACTGTATTTAACTGACAGCCAACCATGAACCATAAATAAAAATATCCCTTCAGACAAAACAAATATATGAACAGAACCAGCAGGACACAAAGTAGTGAAACTAAACCAAACTTGCTGCATGATAATAATTTAAGTGGAGGTGTTATTTTTCAAGAGGAACTTGTAAACTTGGCACAATGTCATGTCTGAAGATTGAAATGGAAAAAATAAATAAACAAAATAAGGTACCATCATACAATCAACAYAAAACTGGAAGGAAGCAATTTTCTCTATAAATAGAAATAATTCTAATAATTAAACAACTACATCAGTATAACAAAAATATATAAGAAATACCTTTCATTTGTTTAGATAAATTAAATGTTAGGAAAATATATTTAAATATAAAAAAGGAGAACATGGTGGTCCACTCCATCTTCACTTCACCAATATGGCCTTCTGTTTTCCACTGGTGCAGGTTTGTCGTGATCCAACACATTCATGCGRCAAAAAAGGACTAAAAGCAGAGCTACTAAAATACGGAGAATAAAACATTCAAGTATTAAATACTAGTGTAAGCAAATCTATCTGTAGTACAGTACATCACTACTGTAGTGGGAATATTGCATCATCATCAGAGCTGATGTTATGTGAGAAAGAAACGGAGGTCAGAGCTTGTCTTCGGTGAACAAATATATTTAGTGTTTCCTACTGTAACAAATATGACTACATGATGTTTGCAGGTGAGCTGTAGTGAGATGAAAGTCTTATGGTGCTCCATCTGGAATCCACAGGACTTTATTCTGTTCCTGCTCCACAATGGTCATGATCTGAGTGCAAACGCTGGAGACGCTGCCTCCTTGGACAACGCCTGCAACACAGTGAGGGTGGGGAGGAATATTTACAGGATGGGTATGCATGGGTAGTATGTATGGCTGAAAGTCTGCCTTCTAGATAARCAGATCTTTACCCATTTTCTCCCTTCAATCTAAATAGTTTAATTATTTTAATATGAGTTAAGCATTTTGAATAAATGATAGAAAATAAAAAAAAATGTTTTAGTAGGTGGTTTACAGTCATTTGAATGAAAAACTGATCTATACAWGAAGCCAGATGATTTACTCTCTCAAGCCACCTAACACTAGCAGATCATAAACAATATTTCCATTTCTCATCAGTGTGGTACATGTGTGGAAGTTGGTCAAACTCCTGTCCTTGTAAAAGGAAAACAAAACACAAAAATAAAAAAGTGGCTTTATGTATGTTCATGGCTTAAACCCTTTCCCCAGAAGCTGTCCACAGTCTCAGTCATTAATCAGCTGGACAGTTGTGTGTTTCAGACAGTTTACTGCCTCAGATATTAAAAAACTTTCACTTTGACCATATATAGCCCACTGTAGATATGTTTACATGGACATAAGTATTCAGAACAAATGGCCAACTGGAATGAAATACATCATGTAAACTATGCAATTGGAATCTTTAGAATTATGAATTTGTAATCCAAATGAGAGGAGTGATTTATGCTGAATGATAGTCCGAATGGCGAGCATGTAAACACTTCTGATCATGTTATTCTGGTTGTGCAAAACTGACCTGACTGCACAAGCGCAACTTATGTCAACCTGAAGCACGTCCGCCTGGCTACATGCTAATATGTCAGAGATACAACATTTCTATTAGAAAAGAGCTCAAAATTATTGAACTTGATGGTTGAAAGTGTAGAAACAGTGTGCAGTAACGTCTCTACTGTTATTAAAACCTGGTGCGGGTCCATTCCAGGTGCTCACAAGACAAACATTTGTTTGCTCCTCAACGAAGTAGAACTTCTTCTGGTTTTTTTTTTTTTTTTTTTTAGGGAACACGTACAACTCTGCATTATATTCTGAAGAGAAGCCTGGTGCATGTAAACGCTCGTCATATTTCATTTCACTTTGTGCCTTTGATTAAATCTAAATGCATTTCAGTCTGATTAAAGTATTTTGCACATGTCAACATAGATTAAACTTGAGTGAGGAGTCATTGCCACTGACCTGTGAAGAAGCGGCTGTATTCCTGCTCTATTTTCTGCGCCGCTTCAAAATGCTCCTTGGAATGTTTCTGAGAGAGTTTATCTCGCAGGTACAAAGGATCCCTCTGCTCTCTAAGGAGAACACATTCACACCTGTCAGCAACTTTTCACACATACAGATTCATTCAAATGTGCAGTAATCCCACAACAACAATCTTTAAAACCACAGTTTGAAATTTTGCAGCTGAATGTTTAATGTAGTTGTGTTGATAAACTAACTTTAAATAAAATCTCAGTTTAAATGCTTCCAGTTTGCTCATCTACATTTCTGCAACCAGTCTGAGGAAGAAGCCTGACTGGAAGTCTTCATGCTCCACAGGAAAGCAGTGACCCAGCCTAGAAACTTTTTATCCCCTCTCCCTGACTTTCAGTCTGCTGTGGTCTGCTGTCACCTCTCAGAGAATAAATAAATAAATAAATAAATAAATAAATAAATAAATAAATAAATAAATAAGAACATAAAGCCTTTGTAAGCTGCTGTGAGCATGTCAGCCACCCCCACCACAAAGTGAAGCCACATGGTCCCGGAGCCCCTCCCAGGACAGCTGGCACTCAGCTGATGACATTGAAGGCCTAGCAGGAATCAATCTACGTTTGTCTGTTTCATAAATTTGCGGAAGAGAATGTGTGTCTGTGTGTTTGTGAGGCCGAGAAAGCCTGTTCCCATTAGATTTGAGTGTGTCTGTGTGTGTTTGTAAATAAAAACTAAAAATAATGATAGGCATCCCAAGGGTTCGGCAGATTTAATCTTCTCATACAATTATAAACGGAAATAGGAGGCATTTTTTGATATTTTAGTATTAGATTATTTATGGCATCTGATCTAATGAGACTGATCAAATCAGGTTTTATCAGTTGGATATATTTATGTGTGGAGAGCAGGATGAATATGATTACAAATGTTCTGCAGCTTCCTGACTGCCTGTCTTCAAAGGAAAAGGAAAGGATAGGAAATTAAAAGTGATGGATTACCAAGCATGAACTATCTTTATATAAAAAAAAAATTAAAAAATGTTTTTGATCATTAACTGACCTTAAGTCCTTTATCTTTATGAAAATAAATAAATAAATAAATACACTGCTCAAAAAAATAAAAGGGAACACTACTGCTAAAAAAATAGAAATAAAGGGAACACTTAACGCACGCTAAGTCCAACTAAATCAAACTTTTGTGAAGCAAATTCAACTCTGTACAGAACAAAGTACTTAATGTGAATATTTCATTGATTAAGATTGGGAGTTAGCGTGCGTTGTTTAAGTGTTCCCTTTATTGTTTTGAGCAGTAGTGTTTCCTTTATTTTTTTGAGCAGTGTAAATAAATAGCATACAAAATGCACCAGTGTTCAAAAAGCTGAGCTTGATGAAGACTTAACTTTAACCTAAGGTGAGAAAACAAAACAAAACGTGCAAAGCCATGGGATCACTCACTTTATCTGCTTGGCATTTTTGTAGCGAATGAATATGATGATTGGGTAGATGTGAACGCTGTGAAGACGTTCGATGGCGTAAGGAGCAATGTCAAGTAAACAGTGACAGTCCTAGAAGAGAATGACAACAAAGAACTGCATAAAAATGGGCAATGGTAAAAGGTTGCAAAAACATGCCAACACAAAGTTAAATTAAATACATCTTTTTAGATTTTAACTGTTCTGGTCAAACATGTAAAATCTTGAAGCAAGTTCTAAAACATGGGAGGCAAAAAAAAAAAAAAAAAAAGATCATTTGTGACAAAAATACAAAACAACACAATTTGCATTGACAACCTGATCCAAAGAGGACACATTATTGGTAAGAAGCACAACACAAATTAATATTGATTTACCTTCTCTGTTATCTCCTTTATTGATGCAACAGTTGTCACGTCGAAATGACAACTCCTCCGTTTGTAGTCGATGAACACACAGTCCTTTACTCCTCGCTCTATTGCCTGCTGAGATGCCTTCATGATTTCTAGAAGGAAATTTAAATTTTAAAAAGTACAACTTTATCAATTTATTTCTCTCCACTTGTCACTTTTTAGTCTAAAAAGAAACTCTTGATGTTCCTAATTAGGTGGTTCTCTTAAAATATCTCCTTTGCAGAGACAAAAACCTAATGACCTTTAGTAAAATCAGACTCATTATGTGTAGAAGCTCACCAGGCAGACAGCGACAGAACTTAGCAGGAGCTTCCTTCACCAGCATGTCCTTAATGGCCTCGACTAAAGGACCCAAGATCAGCACTGCCCTGGGGAACGAGCAGTCCACCTTCTGAACCCGCTGGTACATCAGGCTCGTTCCATCTGAACAGGAAATACAGGAAAGCAAATGACTTGGAAAAAAGTGAGAATGAAGAGATACGGCTGCAATTAATAATCGCAGTTCTCAAACCCAGGAAGGATTCTGTGGACCCAGAAGCAGCACAATCCTATTTCATAACCACATATAAAAGTTCTAATTTTAAAAGAACACTTTGAAGTTATGAAAACTATTCTTTTTTGAAATAGAGCTAATTAAACTTTAGGGAACAGATCCACTTTGCCTACAATTCGTCTCAGTACAAGTAAGAAACACAACTAGTTATATTCTTTTGAAGAAAAGTGAATGAGTATGCGAAGTTATAAGTTTGTCATTAAGCTGCCTCAGTAAATAACTTATTACCTTCTGTAACAGGTAAAGAATCTGTACTTATGGCATCCAGAACCATCAGCTCCTTCCCATCCTTAGATCCACTACGTTTGTGCTTCAGCCTCCGACGGAAGAATGACCTTCGTGCAGCTGCAGACATGGTTTTACTGCTGCCGTTCTCATCTTTCACATCAGCCATGCAGCCATGTCTTCTGTAAAACTCCTGATCCATCCTAGTGGAGATAAAATCAGTGTGCTCGCATAAACTCACTATCAGCATTACCTTCAGGGACAAGAAAGTAATCCTTCATACTAATCAGGAATGGATCAACTGAGAAAGAAATTCAAAATTATGTGCCTGTRAAATGYAATAACCAATAAAAACTAAAATAAAAGAGAACAGGATTGATAGAAACTATCTAGTCTTACAGTTCAAAATACTGAAATTTACAGATCTAGTAAAATTCCAAACCCTTACTTATACAGAGCCAAACACGACAATTTACCTAAAAATATACAAAGTACTTGAAATTTTTGCGAAGGAAGTTACAATTTAAGGGGTATTTGTAAATTCAAAGTTATTGTGTGCACTGTGAGAAAGAGTTTTTGTGTTTCTGTGTGTGGAGTAAAAATGCGGAGTTAAAGCAATTTCTAAACAATTTTTTAAAAGAAAATATAAATAAATTATTTTTATTCATTACAAAGATATGTAAAAATATGACATTAGGCTGTATTAAAAGTATTTGAGACATTAGTGGTTGTATTAAAAAAAGAATCATATTAGTACAAACTGATTAATTGTGAATGGGTGTGATTAAATAAGTATGTACCTTTTCCCACTCCTTTAAAATGTGAGCAATGCCAAAAAATAGTGTAGCAAAAGTTGTGCCTTTTAATTTTAATTATATTTTAAATTTCCTTGTAGGTTCTTCTATTTTTTTGTTTTTCTCATCTTTGCTTAAAATGATTGTCTGCACATAATTAACATGTTCAAAATTAAACAAACAATATTGGTATAACTTACATGTATTTACTTGGAATATGACCCTTTTCCAGCTTCTGCCCACTCTCATCAAGATGCCAGGCCATCCAGAAACCAAAATTCCCATTTGGCAGCGTGTCTTCAACATACAGGATGTCATCTTTCTTAAAGCTCAGTTCCTGCTCTACTTCTGCCACCCGCTCATAAAGCGCTCTAACAAAAGAACAACGGCTTCGGTAAGGTGAACACAGTCAATGCCAACGTCAGAAGTGTTCATCTTTACAAAAAGGATCCAGATGGTGCTTCATATTTGCTTTATGATTCTTTCACACAGTCAAATACTCTAACTAGCTTTGATTTGACGTTTGAATAGATTTATTTGTAAACGGTTCTGAAAACACAATCTGCCTCTTTTCTTTCAAGAGTTTGATGATTTTCATACCTAATAAAGAATCCATCTCCAGGAGTCTCTTTGACGTCAGCGAGACCGTCTGCACAGTTTTGGACCTTGAATGTGACGGTTTCAGCTGGCTTTAACATTTCCAGGTAAGCATCTTCTTTAGTTTTATTCTTCATGCTGATGCCATTGAACTGCAAGGAAACAATTACTCAATTGTTACAGAGGAAAATGAGCTACACACATGGACAAAGTTGTTATTAAATTGTTACCGCTCATTTAATGAAASAAAAACCCACAATGGTCACAGAAACAACTTGAATCTGAATACAGTAATAATAAATAAAGACTGAGACCAAGCTTTGACACTGGGCGGCACATTTCTCTCTAGAATCCCTTGATAGTCTTGAGATTTCATTGTACCCTGCACAGATTCAAGACCCCCTGTGCCAGATGGAGCAAAGCAGCCTCAGAACATAACAGGGCCTCTTTCATGTCTCACAGTAGGGACAGTGCTCTTTTCTTGGTATGCTTTATTTTTCCCTCTGTGAACGTAGAGCTGATGTGCCTTGACAAAAGGTTCCATTTTGTCCATGGACATTGTCCCTGAAGCTTTGTGGCTTGTCAACATGCAGGTTGGTAAATTCCAGTCTGACTTTAATGATTTGGTGTCCTCCTTGGTTGTCTCCCATTAAGTCCACTTTGGCTCAAACAATGAGTGATGGTGCGATCCGACACTGATGTTCCTTGAGCTTGAAGTTCATCTTTAATCTCTGAAAGTTTTTTGGGGCTTTTTTGTTACCATTCGTGTTATCCATCTCTTTGATTTGTCGTCGTTTTTCCTGCGGCCACATCCAGGGAGGTTGGCTACAGTCCCATGGATCTTACATTTCTGAATATGTGCAACTGTAGTCACAKGAACACCAAGCTGCTTGGAGATGGTCTTATAACCTTTACCTTTAACATGCTTGTTTATAATTTTTCTTTCTAWTCTCCTGAGACAACTCTTTCCTTCTCTTCCTCTGGTCCATGTTGAGTGTGGCCCACACCATGTCACTAAACAGGACACTGAGTATCTGTGTAGGCCCACTCACTGATTACAAGATTGTAGACACCTGTGATGCTAATTCATGGACACAACTTGATTTAACATGTCCCTTTGGTTGCATTATTTTCAGGGGTACCATCATTTCTGTCCAGGCCTGTTTCATGATTTTTTTTAAATCTGTTTAAGCATGGTTGAAAAGCCATGTCTGAAATTCATTTGTTCATTTTTATAGAATCTTTCTTTGACAGATTTAAGTTATTTCTGTGACCATTGTGAGGTTTTTTTTCACTAAACGAGGGGTACCAACCCTGTGTGTAGATTAACACAGAGAAAAGGACTTTCTGTATAAAACAATGAGACAGCAACAGAGATAAAACACTTCTAGTACCTCCAGTATCTGATCTCCAGGTAGTAGCCCATCTGGGCTCTTCAATGGACTATCATCATCCAGCATCTCCACAAAGACGCCATAAACGTTTCCCCCACAAATCTGAATCCCCAGTTCTGCGTGAATCCTCTTCTTCCTCACTAAGCGAAGTTCTGCAGCCCTGAGTGAAACTGAACCTGGAAGCCTAGAGAGCAACATGACTTTCAGTTCCCCAGTTCATGCAACATGCATTTTGATTGGTTTTACTAACAAAAATAAAATAAACCTAAAGGAGCTGTGAGGACTTGTGGCAGGAGTTGTCCGCCTGGATGGAGGAGTCATGGTGCCCTCATCCTGCTCACTGAGGTTATCAACAGCAGAGTGATTGTCCGGGCTAGGAGCTACGCTGTCTTGGGGAGTCGGCTGGTTGCTGATGGTCTCCATTTGAGAGCTAAGAAAAACAGCAATTAGATTAAATTTTGTCAATTTACTTAAAAAGCTTATGAAATTATTAGAAACAATACGGAACTTTACCCTGAACGAGAATGATTCCCCAGCTGAAACATGTGAGGGTTATACTGGGCCAAAATGGTGACCGTGTCACACTGCTGTCCGATCACCAGCCGTGCCTGCTGCTCGTTGGCATTTCGAAGATTGATTCCGTTAAACTGGAATCCATATTGTGTTATTATAAACAGAAACGATAGGCCTCAGTGTGAAGTTCAGGTGAGGGTGGCTGTCTTACCTCGAGCAGCTGGTCTCCATACTCTAATCGAGCTTGATGAGCAATGCTGCCTGGCGTSACTTTCGATACAAATACTCCACCGTTTTCTCCACTCACTATGGAGATTCCCAGCGGCTCTGCTCCTTTCTGTACCGTCACATTGCGTGGCTCCCCCAAGAACGGCCTTAGAGAACAAAAGAGCATTCACTTACTTGTAGTGTTTGTCATTTGTTTTAAATACGGCTGCCAAAATACAGAAAACACATTTAATTGTAAAAAGGCATGATTGCTTGCAGCCTTGTCTCAAAAAAGTTTGAAGGCTAAAATTATTAACACTTGTGGAAAATTTATTAAAATAATTATTTTTCTAAAATGAAGTGAATAGTTCTATATTTGTTAAATAGCTYCAGAAAAGCCTRAATATTAAAGTCTTAAACTTTAAAAAGAATRTGGTGAWTGATATRAAACTGTTGGGAATAGAAAGCAGAATTACTAATGAATTTGTTCAGAAGTCCCACTTTGATTTCTAACTTAAGATGTTTTTGTTAACACCCTGTCATAGATAATGAAGCAGACCGAGATCAAGGCTTTTAAAAAGCAACTCAGCTTTTTGATTTTGGTTTTCTTTAAAAATGATAATCACTGAAAACTCAAGACCAACAGTCCAAAATTATAATAAAATAAACTGCACATTTTTTATATCAGTTAACATAACTTTGAATCAAAATATTCTAAGCAAAAATATATTTATTTTTGACAGGCATCTTTGCTTTCACACTGAACAGGAGAAATTTGTTATTTCCACCTTAATTTAATAGATTCTATGCTTGTCCTTTCCCACCATTTACTTACACAGAACACAGGTAGCCTGGGTCAATCACCTAACTCAAGCCTTCATATAGTTTTGGAGCAGATCGAGCAGAATGCTTTGTTTACACTGAGCGTGTACCTGCATTTCATCTTTCCATATCAGTATATTTGGAAAACTACCAAACTCTTTCAAACTGCATCATTTTATATAGTTCAGGGAAACTTTTGTTTGATTTTATACTTTTCAATAAGAACCTTTAAAAAGTTTGACAGAGAAAAACAAAAATATATAGATCTTTGCTTTAAGGAAAACAGCTGCAGTGCAATTTCAAATCGCTTCTGATATCCATTAATAAATCTGACAGCACACATTTTAAAAGTCATTTATTATACAGCAAGATTATAGCTTTACAATCTCTCTATGGTAAATTACATTTTATGAGTCATTCAGTATAAAGATTGATTGCCATTTACTTTAAATAAAAAAAGGTTCAAACACCATTCAGGAGCTGTGCAGAACAAGTGCACTCTGAAATCCAACTCTGTGTCATGCAATTATTCTAAATTTAACATCATCTTTAATAATTAACATGCAGAGAGATTAGAGATGATGACTTAAAGGGAAACAACCATTTCATTATTAGGGCAAATTTAACATTCAAATTAATCATGCACCAGTGCTGCTAAATAGAGCAGAACATATCATTTTATACTTGCAGAGCGAACAAAGAGTATTCAGAGAGAACTCTGTAATTCTTGAACTGATTGCATATTCTATTTGTGCTACAAGTAGCTTGGGACGAACCTCAAGCTCCTCAAGGAGAAGAACTTAGGCTTTTGTGGACGTCTAACAGAAGGAGTGTAGAAAGAGAGAAATCTGAGAAGCAGATAAAAGAAGAAACACACTGATTGCCTGAAGTTGCAGAGAATATTTCAGGTTATAAAGATGAGTAGCAGACAAGACATAAGCAAGAATAAATTTATAAAAAGGTGAGTCAGCATTGTGACAGTTTGAGATGAAGGGTGATAGATTTGTTTACTGCAATCCAAGCACTTTGTCACAATGAACCAGACAAGGACGTGGAAAAAAAACATGTCATGCTTTGCTGAATGATGACATGAGGATGCAGACAAGACGCTGGCTTACCCGTCCCTCCTCCTGTCACCARCTGGAGCAGGACTGACTGATATCCTGGGCTGAGAGGAAGTGGAACTTTGTGATTGGCTGCTGGAGAAAGATGACGTGTCCAGGTTGACAGGAGACATCGGTGGCGTCAGGCTGCTACACTCTGAGTGTGAAAGAGAGCCTGGAGTGAAGATAGAAACAAGCGTTAGTGTCATTTACAGCAGCAGCATTCAACAACAGGTGATATAATCCAAACAAATCCAAACCTTTGTCTGACCCAGCAGGGCGAGGGTAACGAGCTGGAGGGATCTTAATGCGTTCTGCATGAAACTGTAAAGTACCAGGGGAGCCTAGAAAAAAAGTCAAATGGAAAATCTGTTCATGGGTCAGTTTTMCCACAAGAGGAAAAACGGCACAAATTGTATTTACCCATGTGGGAACAGCAATCCTTACTAAAAATGGCAGAGCTTCTGTCACTGTCATTTTCATCTCCTGAGCTGATTCAGATCAGTTTTAYTATTTTTCATCTCATGGTTTGTCCTACATTATCTAAACCTAAACACTGACTAAATGTGTAAATGTAGTTTCTCTTTTCTTTACAAACAAGTAGATGCAGGTAGCAAATTAATGCAGCCCTTGAGCTTCAAACCTCTTGCAAAAACAAAAACAACCTTCCTGTGTTTGCTGAATGTAGTTCTATTTAAATCCAGTGGTCCATATTGTTTTAAAATCTTTAGCATTCAGGATCAATCAGTTAAATCAGCTGACAGACTTTGTGAAACTCCCGACCCAGCTTTATACCACTTATTTCCATTTACAACACGATTTCTCTAGGTTTAAAATTGCAGATTTTCTTTTAAGTGAGACAGATTAATACTAGAACACACTGTGACAATAAAGAAAGTTTACAAGAAAGATGTGTCATTTGGACAGATAGTGCAACCTGGATATTATAAGCATGTCCAAATACTACTTTAAGAAAAAATAATAATAAAATGAAAAATTAAATAGTGATTTTGTTGTTAAAATGAACTGACCAGTTTTTAATTGCCATAACATTTGCAGGATATTTTAAACAAGTTCTGTTTGAAAACTAGGACACCATACATACTGAGCCTGGCTGTAGAGGGCAGTGAGTTAGTGCTGTGTGGTGGTTGGCTGCAATTGGTCTCAGTCAAATCTCCATTGCGCTTATGGCTGAGGTCCAAACTAAGGGGTCCATGATTCTGGGGGCTAAAAATGGAAAAAGAGGCCTATGTCAGTCCCCCGGCAATCAATTATTCAACCCAGAGCAAGATATAATTTGCTTCATGCCATCTGTTCATGGGATCTGGGGAACAGTGGACACTGCAGCACAACAGATTTTGGGCCTTTTTTTTGCACAGTTATTTTTTACAATAAGATATGAATAGATGTGAGTCATAAGACCTTTTATGACAAGTCTTAAATGTTTGCAAAGCAAAAAGGTCCATTAGGTGAACAATAAAAACATACATTTAGCTTAAAAAACAAACAGGCAGAAAACCTGTGTGAATGCAGATGGATCCCCGAGCTAAGTACTGAAGGACAGTTGTTGGTTTGAACCTCATGGCTCCAGGCTGTATAAACTGGATTCCTCATGGCAGCTGCCACAGCAGGACACTGTGYTAAACGTCGTCGTGGTGGGTCTTCAAAAAATAAATAAATAAATAAAATGATAATTATAACCACAGAGTTAGACTTGATTTCTAATTTACTTTGTCTGATAAATGCACTCTTGTTTAAATGCAAATCAGAGCACGTTAGGATGTGCAGACGACTCACGTGCTGAGACGCTGATGCAGCTCGAGGGTGCAAATTGCATGCTGTACCGATTAGTTCTCAAAGGAGAGAAGCGTAACAAGTCCACTGGCTCTGGGGAGTGCTCATCATTAGAGGAAGTTTGTGTCTGGAAGAACCAAACAAACACCAAAAAACACTTTATTTTTGTTATATTCAAACCACTCTAAAAATTAAGTAATCCAGTTTATCCAAAACGGCTATCATGGAGTGGTTAGGGAGTCATCCTGGAACYGGAACGTCACTGGTTCGATCCCCCATTCCAGCAGTCTCAATCGTTGTGTCCTTGGGCAAGACACTTCACCCACCCTGCCTACTGATGRTGATCAGAAGGTCCGGTGGCACCAGTGCATGACAGCCCCACCTCTGTCAGTGTGCCCCAGGGCAGCTGTGGTTACAATGTAGCTTACCACCATCAGTGTGTGAATGGGTGAATGCCTGAAGTGTAAAGCGTCTTGGGGTTCATGTGGACTTGATAAGGCATTATATAAGTTCAAGCCATTTACCATTTTACCCAGTGGTGGGCACCAGTTCGCTAAAGTGCAAATCCACTAATTGCGGACGTAAACATTTGGTTTGCGCTTTAGCGGTCTTACAAATTTTTATAATTCATAAGYGGATTTGCGCTTTTTAAAATTTAAATTGCAGTTACGCTACTAATTATCTACCGGTCATCATTATCTTGAACAGCRGAAGGTATGGCTGTCAGGACTCACAACACATGCGATCCATCCAACAGCTCTCCTCCCAGGTGAACACTATTTTTGGGAAGGTATACGTCCTTCCTGACTGTCACTTTGGGTCACGGTTCAGTCGGTTCTCATTTTAGTACGGTAGGTCAGCTTTGCAAAACATTTTTGCTGGGAGCAATCTAAATTATTCATATGGCTTCTGTTAAATTATAATAAACATAGTGCAAAAGACAATATTCAGTAGCCAGCAGGGATCCACATTTTACAGACATTTCCCACAATGCTTTGTGTCTGCTTACGTAGCACTGCAGGAAGGCAAGGTTTAGTACACTABTACTCCCTGTCCCAGCAAAAATAGTAAACTTTTGTAACCCATACTAAAATTTTGTATGTATTGATTTATTTTAATTTACAATCGGGGCTCCCTTTTTAAAAAAAATAAAGTTTAAACGCTGGAGCTCAATACTTGACGTAATTGGTCGAAGCAATGGGGTTATAGATTTMTCCTGACGAAGACTGGCATTTAGTGCTCAACTGGAGCAGCTGCAACTACATGGAAAATGTCCTCATGCATCTCAGTAAYCCAGRTARATAAAAATCAAATAGAAAAAATAAGTAGRAYGGGTTCTTCTTTAGTGAAACGTTTCATCTCTCCTCCAAGAGACTTCTTCAGTCTGATGAGTTTCAGGTGAACTGGAATCCAATGGAAATGTAGAAAAGTGTGTAAAAGTGTTTATATTTCACCCCAAATCCATTTTCATTTCTCAAGTACCGGGTATATTTGCTTTTCTTAGTTCATTTATTGTATTTTATTTTGGTGGGGAAGCTTTTATTTTATTACTTCACGTTACCGCAGTGATTGACGCTGCCCTCTTCAGTTAGCGCTGAGCTGCGCTGGAGAGAGGTGGGTGTGTCGAACTGTCTTCAGTTTGTGTTAAAAATGTTAAATACAGTATGTCCTAAAATTTTAAGTTTGCTGAACTCACAACTTGTTTTATATTATTTTAAGATGTTTTATGTCTGATACAGCACTGCACTGAGTGTTTAATTCCCACGTTGGTGATATTTATCAAGTTTTACAATGTCAGAATGATTTTTTTCCATTTGTTGTCAAAGGTGTGTGTGGGGAATCCTGAACACTAAGATTGCTGTGCTGAAAATGTTTTTGTTTTAAACAGGTATGTGGGTTTTATTTTCTTCTTTCATGTTAACTGGTTGTTAAATTAATGTATTTTCATATATGTTTGAATTACCATATGATTTTTATTGTTGTAAATTCAATTCGAAATATATAAAATTGTAACTGTTAGAATTTTATTTAAATAATTTTGACTAAATGGAGATTGTGTTTTATTTGTAAACATTTGAGAGAATCTTTGTTAGCCTTATACACTTTTGTCTTGAGTTAGCGCTGAGCTGCGCTGGAGAGAGGTTGTGTKTGGGGAACGATGAACACGCTGAAAATGTTTTTGTTTTAAACAGAATAAATCTGCCCTGTCGGCTGCAACTCCTTCATGGTCCTCGCCTGATGACTTTTTGGCCAAAACGCATACAACGCAGAGTAACCTACCTCCAGATGATCAAACTGAAGTCAGTTACAGAAACATGGAAAACTAAAATCCAAGCTCTTATTTTGAAGGAAAGATACTAGTTTCCTGTTCTCCATGCTTTCGTTTCTCATCACAAAAGTACCCAGAATGCACCGCTTCAGTTTTCCAATAGTRTTTTAAAATTACTTTATTGATGCTTCTTTAATGAAAAATCCACAAACAAAAGAAAAAGACAAAGAAGCAGCCGAAATAGCAATCCTCAACAAGTTTTTAATTTTAACACCCAGGAGCCAAAGTTCTGTTTCAGGAAATCAGACCCCCAGCATTCGGCAGTTGTAAAACAAGCTGTACAAGAGTTCATAGACCACTAGTGGCCAGCATTGTACATCTATTGTACACGAATTGTAGCCAGCTAGAAATTGTCAAATTGAACACGCGCATTTGAATTAGCTTCTGCTAATATTTCTACTGCATAAGCGGTTTTGAAGTTGCGGACCTAAATATTTTCATAAGCGCTTTAGGAATTGCGGAGCTAATTTTTGAATTAGTGCTGCCCACCACAGATATTACCGTTTACCATGAACAGGTGTGTATTTTTTAAATGCTTAATAAGCATCATTGTGTTTGTTTACTGGATGCACTTTTATCAAACCAATGATTTGGGCCTAAAACTTACCTGCATGGGAGCAGGGATGTGTAACGGAGTCATGTTTCGTCGTAGAGCTGGTGCTGATTTTGGCCGGTACCTCCTCTTTTCTTGCACGTCTGCCCTGCGACGACTTCCTTCATCCTCAGTGTGTTTCTTGGGGCCGTTCTTGATATTTTCTTGAGGAGGGTTGATGTAATAGAGCTGGTTCCCCACCAATCCCTCATCCTGTGGGCTTGTGCTTTGAGCCACCGAGGCTGGAGGAGTGCCATTGGTGATGGTAGAGTCAGACGCAGAGCTGTTCTGTTGACGATGTTTAAATTTAAATGAGTCGCTCCTGGCAGGTGGGGTGGGAGGGGTCTGAGCAGKGTCAGACACGGAGCTTTGTGGGGAGTGCTTGGATATTTGTGACATGTAGTCCAGGTGAGGTTTTGCCTCAGGCCTCCTGAAAGCAGCCACATCAAAGATGGACTTCCTTTGTTTGGGTTTTTTAAAAACCGACAGYGGGTTCGCTTCAGTAATTGAAGCTCCCACTAGGACTTTTGGCCATGTCCCTCCACCAGCCGTCGGTGGAAAACTCTGCCCTCCGTCTCCAGACGACTGMGTAGAGCTTCCATCAGTGAGAACAGGGGTGAAGGTGAGGGGATGAGGGCTGAGATCCTGCCTCCGGTAACAGAGAGCTGGATGCGGCTCTGAAGGACTGTGGGAGGTGGAAACAGAGCAGGTGTGCTGGGAGCTGTGAGAAAWGGTCTTGTGGTGGGAAAGAGAGCTGCAACCACTGCTGTTTTCCAARGAATCACATGCGTCTCTGCACACTTCCTCTTCTCTGCTGCAAACATCAGTTTGAGTTGAGCAGTTGTGCTTAGAGTTCCTGCAGATCCTGGTGTGGATTTCACCTGACTGGAGCCGCAGAGTCTTTTCTGAGTCCCTCAAAGTTTCAAATAAATTTTGTCCAGAACAGCTTTGTGAGAGAAACTGTCAATTTGAGGTAAATAAGTTATTTCATCTTTATTTAATCTAAGCACAAAATAATACAGAGGATTTCAATGCATTTAAAAGCAGATCAGTATTGTTTTACTCAAATCATCTGTGGTCTTTAAAATTTTAAATAAAACTGAGTATCATTAGCAGCTTCACAGCAAYTACATAAAAATAATAATAATAATAATCTTTTTTGTAATGTCTGGGATAGTCACCTTCATAAGGGAGATGCTGAGGGAGTTTCCACAGTTCTTCAACAGAGATTCACATTCAGAAACAGATTTGTTATCGAGTTCAATTCCATTGATCTGTGTACAAGAAAAATAAATAAATTTAATGTAAACGTTGTTTATTACACTTTACTTGCTGAGGAGAGGACAGTAATTCCCAAAAATTCAAGCTGCCATCTAAAAATAAAAATCTGAAATGACTGCATTATAGTATAAAAAAATAATTGTCATAAAGACTACAAATGATTTCAGATTAACTCACAGGACACGTGAGGTCTGAATAGATAGCAGAAACCGTTAAATGCTGGATTTGACCAAAATGTTTCGAAGAATGAAAATTGTATACATTTTCTAAACTAACACAATATAATATAAAATCATAGTGTACTTTGATTTCATAATGTTACAAAGGTTTTGAGACATTACTGTAGTCTGTCTGCATCTGTATTTGTGGTCAGTAGAGGGCACTGCAGGTCAGTTTTAATGTCCATTAGCTGTGTTTTGGCTGAAAGCAGCTTGTTTTGAGTAACTAACTTTTAACTGGCATACTTACAGCTAATAGTCTGTCACCAACAGTAAGATTACAGTCTCTGGAGGCTGGACTTCCTGCAGCCAGACTGCCAACAAAAACTCCACTTTCCAAACTAATGCCACAGTCTGAGAAAGATGACAGAAATAAATATTTATGTCATTTACAGGGAGAATGCCTTCAAATGCATAGTTAAGTGCAAGTCAAACTGTTTTGTTTTGTTTTACTTACGCTGAAATATTGCTGGTACTTTATAATCCAATGATTCAAATTAAAATGAAGACATCAAATCTTTTTTCTTAAGTTGAACTTTAATTTAAAAAAACGTATTAATCCCAAAGGGAAATTAAATGAATAAACATGAAGCAGACCTTTGTGTCCGGCCAGGTTTATCTGGATCGGTGTGACAATTCGTCCTCCAAGTAACTTTCGTCTTCTTACGACCATATTGATCACTCCCTCTTCATTCAACATGGCTTTGATCACCTGCTTTCTGTCCTTATGAGTCAGATCCACATTGTTTATTTTCAACAACCAGTCGTTCACCCTGCAGTGAGAGAGAGAGATGAGCTTTGACCACTTATTAAAGATTTTAAACAGCATCAAAAATAATTTTCATCTCCTCATCAAAGCTCAAACAACAGAGCAAATCCAACGCTTACCTTAATCTGCCTTCAGCAATACTTCCTTTATCCACCTTGGAGACAAATATGACACTATCGCCTGCTAAATATGAATCATTTACTCCTTCAGCAATGTCAAACCCAAGAGCATTCAAATCCATATCCTAGGAAAAGATAAAAGATGTGATACAGGTTCGTGTTTTGACTGAAAATTAAGCATTTGATCAACTTGTATGATCATTTTAAATATATGGTGAAGCATGTCTTACTCTGTGCTTTTCAAGCTCAACAACTTCCGTTTCCCATTCTATTGAGTCTGTGTCTATGGCTGAATCATGTGAACTGTGAACCATTAGCTGTCGATATCGTGCTTCCTTCTCTAACTGGTCATCCAGCTTTTCTCTGCAACAAACAGAAAATGGGCATTGCTTTGAAAAAAGTTCAGATTCCTGACAAGTAGTATCCCCAGACAAAAAATAAAAACACCTTCTTTAATACAGCTTGATGAATAATTATTTGTTTAGTCCTAAATAGAGCAGATAACATCACATATTAAAAAAGGAGGTCAAATAAAAGTGTGGAGGAGAGACACACTTTAGTTCTTTGAGTTCCCGCGCAGCATCGTTCTTCTGCTTCCTCATGTCATCCAGATTCCTCAAAGCATCTGCCAAATCGCTCACAGCCCTGTCTCTTTCTCGTCTCAGGTTGTCACACAGCGTGCTGAACAGGGTAAACAACCCCATAAATTAGCCGACATTATTTTTAGCCAACCCTTTGTGCTGACAAGCAGTAAATTAAAAAAGTGTTTTTTTTCCACATTATAGAGACAGGCATCAACAGTTGTTTACCGTATGCTCTCCCTCTCTGCCACTATCTTGTCCCTCTCCTGAAAGGCCCAGTCCCGTCGACATTTGGCCACTTCTGCCTCTTGCAGAGCTTCCTTCAGCTCCTGAGAGATGGCCTCACACTGCTTCCTCAGCATCTCAATCTCCTTGTTGGCTCTCTCCATGTCCAGAGTAGCACAGTCTTGTTTCTGGAGATACAGACAAAAATGTTGGTCGACAAAGAACCCTGTCAAACTGCACAAAAGAGGTGGACAGCTTGTTGCTTTTAATCTAGTAAAGTACAATTAACACCTTTTTTTATATACAGTCTCATTCTAACAAAAAAACAGTATTTTAAATCAAGTTCAACAGAGAACACAACAGTTACTTTTATTTTAAACAACTAGGCTATACTTGTATGTGACAAGTTTATTAAAACTACAGATGAACCTCTCTCTAGAAACACTGGAATAGTTTGGGAGCAACACATTGCAACTTCACATAAAATGCCTTTCTCTGTTAAAATCATGCAAAAACCACCAACCACCTCAATAACATGTAAAATCCTTTGTCATGTTAGTATGAACTACTCAAAGTTATTTCTGTGTGCAACCCTTCCAACCCACCAATAAGTGTAAATTGATTTTGAAGCTGTGTAATTAATATAATTTTAAAAGAAATCTTATGCAAATTTGAAGCAGTAAACTACTAATGTTCCTGATCCCATTAMATCTTAAAAATAAACTGCTACAAAGTAAAATCCATCATCTTCTCGTGATGCCTAACAGGATCGGGGATATATTAGATTGAATAGTGTGCTTTAAAGCTTGTCAGTTATAGAATAAATGTCTGAGAAGTCTATAGGTCTCATTCTAAATAACTTTAGAGCAGACAGTTAATTTATGCTCTCAATATACTAAATTAGACTCCATCAGACTTGACTGGACTATTCATTTCTAACGCACTGCAGTTTTGTCACTTTAATTAGTGGCAATTTTCCTAATGCAGGAATCTTTGGCTTTCATTGTAATAAGCTGACGATCACCAAATAAATTAATTAATTAATTTTTAAAAAAATGTGAAGTAGTCCTTGCTCATGAAGGTCAATGAGTAAAAACTGCCCAGCTAATGAGGAATAAACAAAAACATTTACTTCCATTACAATGAAAGAGGAGATGAAAGGATTATTGTTGAAGTAAATCAATCCTTCCATTTGGACTGTCTGGCTACCTGTCTGGCTTGGTAATACTCTCGCAGCAGCTGGTCCCTCTGAATGATGGCCTCTGTCCTTTCTTTGCGGGCCACATCCCTCTCTTCGCGCACCGTCTCGATGTCCTTGCAGGCCTGGCTCAGCTCTTTCTGAGCCTCAGTTTTGTCCTTCACCTCATGGCAGTACTTCTCCAGCAGCTCAGTCTTTCCACACATTGCTTGATCTCTGTCCACCAGCGCAGAGGCCAGTTCCTTCAAGTTACAAAAACATCACCAGTGAAAATGTACAATAATCTCCCATGTTTAAGTTTAAGTTTTTTTTTCTTGCTGAACAAGGATTAATTTAAGCCCTTACTTGTCGAAGAGCCTCCAGCTCCTCGTTGGCAACTCGTCTTTCTGAGGAATTGTTTTTGAGCTTTGCTTCTGCCATCTCCAAGCCTGTCTGAAGCCTGTCCACCTCTTTGATCACCTGGTCCCTTTCGCTCATGATCAAACGGTACTCGTTGATCACAGAGTCCCGCTCCTCCTTGTACTTCTCGCAGTCCTTCACAGCCTTGAGCTGCTGGGTCTTTATCCGTGTCGTCTCGGACTGCAGCCGGTCCAACTCTCTCTGCAGCTCCTTATTCTGGGCTGTGGCCTTGGACAGCTCTTGATGAGCGTTGTCAAACCTGAAACGGATGGCAATTTAACATTTTCTAACGTTTTTACAAGCTGACAATGAAGTTTATTTTATTTATTTATTATTTTTTAACTTTACTACATTATAAATTAGGGATGCACCTAGCTGAAACCAGTGTTGGACGGTTGTTACCTTGAATGGACTCAAACCAGATCCTTCCACACAAATAAAAAATAAATAAATTTTAAAAAACTGGATTTTTTTTTTCTCGATTTTTAAATAGTTCTGAGAAATTCAATATTTTCTTTGGTCCATGAATGCCCCATCTGCACAGGAGGCAGAAGCAAGCACGTAGTCCGTGTCATCAGGTGACTTTCTCATTAGATTTAGTAGCTCCTTTTTTAACTGACTAGAGTCAAACCAATAGATACTTTTATGGTGGGTTTGGAGACTTTTATGGGCTGCATTTGAAAGCACCAATCATACAGTGTTCAGCAGTGGGTGATGCCGCCTCCCTCATCCCAAAGCTCGGAGGCTCGTGCAGCTCAGCTGCAGTTAGATGTGGAGACGAGAAAACTCCAAGTTCATCTGCCAACAGTTTTTTTTTCTTTTGTCTCTTTTTGGTCTGTTTATATTTGTAATGTTGTTAAGTTAAAAACATCTTTACAAAGATTGTTGAACAGTAATAGCATAAAATGAAATATTTTACAGTTATTAGTTTTTGGCTCCAAGAAAAAAAAAAAAAGAAAAAAATCTTAAGAAAAATAACACAGTTATTTATACTTTTAGCAGCTCTTTTTATCCCACAGCTGACCAGCTAAAAATGACAGATTTTCTTTTCTGGATCTCTGACAGACGGACTTCAATCTCTGAACTCGTAAAGTTTTTATTTTTTCAGTTTTCGCTGTCATTTTCATGAATGAACACTTGTGTCTGAGGCAGGAATCATAGCCTTATATGGTGTTTTTGGGGTGGTAATTATGCTGATCTCCTCTCGCGTGCACGAGCAGCTGGATACGAACAGGTGGAATTTACGCAGCTCATTTACGCACTTTTCCTGAAGATAGAAGAGTTTGTTGAATCTGACGTGACATGTTCGTACGAACCCTTTGTACAAACAAAAGTAGGAGAAATTTAGGATAAAAATACGAACATGTTCTTGCATGAGGCCCAATGATAGAAGATCACATAAACACTGATGTACTAAAGATGTACTGTTCTGTTCTAGCAAATTTTCAATTTTCATTGCCTAAATATAAATTTAAATATTAAATTAGAATTTTTTTATATGAAACTGTACAGGAAAAATAAATGTGATTTTTGAGGCAAATCATTAAGTTATACACACTTTTAAGTTCAATTGTAATTCTAAACATTTTTCACTCACTTTTTGTCTYTCTAATGTTGATATTTATATCCTACACCCTGGATCAGTTACAATGAAATGACAAAATACACTAATTAGATGTCATCTAGCACGTTTTAGAACAGTGAACAGCTACTTCTTACTTGGCAACACTGCATATTGTCAGTGTAGGTTTCTTTGAGGAGATTTTTGTTTTAAGACAGCAGATAATCCTGAATGCGTGTGACTGTTTGGATTAGTATATTGGGAAGAAAAAATAAATAAAGTTTATTGGGAAGAAAAAATAAATAAATTGATATCAGTAGGTCAGAGTACTCAAAAACCGGAAATCGATATCGGCCGTAAAACCAGAATTGGTGCATCTTCAATATAAATCCCAGTGAGAACATGTCAACGTAATAAAACCAGTTTGTAAAGGGAGGGTATCTGCACATCTGCAAAGCATCATCTACTGTGGATTAAGCAAGTCTTAAGCACTTTGACCTCAGAGATACACTCAAGTACTGCATTTGAAGCAGAGTTGCCTACACATGTTGTTCTTTGTGTGTGCAGCTGCTAATGTTGAAGGATTTGTCTGATTCATTCAGCTTTACCTTTTCACAGAAGAGGAGTACTGCTGCTGATAGTGGATGGCAGCATCCCTCTGCTTCGACAGAATGTCCAGTGTCTTCTGTAGCCGGTGGTTCTCCTCCTCGATTTGGTCCATGCGGATCAAGTCTGCATTGTGACTGGCCGTTTTTTCATTGTAACGCTTCCTCAGAGCCTCGTAGTCACCCTTCATCACCTCCAATTTGTCTACAGCTGTTTCATACATCTTGTTCAGGACTTCAGATGAACCCTCTCTCATCACCTGTAAAAGACACTCAGGTCGTACTGGAAGTTTTTAAATCACTTAGTTTCTTGCTGAACAAGAAATATGATCACAAACAAATGTCACGTTCAGTTAAATTTTGGACACCATCATTCATTAAAATGTTATAAAAAGATCTAAATTAACAGCATCTTTGCACATAAAGTGAAATTTATTCATTTTTATTCTAGTTGACAGACGGGACAACATATGCAGGAAAAGATTATCGTACAGGACCAACATCACAACAACAAAGGTCAGCTCACTTGGCTAATTTGGTTTCTCATTTGAATGAGACTGGACAGTAGTTTGCCTTAAAATGACATGACCTCTGGAAGCTTTTTTTTTTAACAATCCGTGAGCTCTCTAAGACGGTGTCCAAAGTTTGGGTCAGGACCTAAACAGGGTGGGGTTCTGAAAATATTTTTTAACCAATTACATTTAAATATGACTTACACTATTTTTTTTTTTTTTTTGCTTTTGTTGTTACAAAAGAGTGAGGTTAGTAGGGGTGTCCCGATCCGATATTGATATCGGTCCGATACCAGCCAAAAAAACAACCATTGGATTTTAATCGGCCTGCATCTAAAATCTCCGATAAGCATTCTGATAGAAGCAGTCAATTCCACCACTCCACTCCAGCCTTTCTATCCAGCAGCACTTGGATCCAGCATGCAGAGCCCACGTGATCACAACCACATGCTGCGCTAACAAAGTAGCTAGCAGTAGGAGCGATGTCGGCAGTACTATTTTTCATCAAAAACAGAGTTGCAGCTAAGTGCAAAACTGTCATGCACGAGTTTTCCGTGGGGTCACAGAACAGTGTACGTTTTAAACCGGAGAGAGACAACTTGGCTCTACTCTCCACCCTGGCAGCAGCTATGCGGTTTGGCTCAGTTCGGCTTCAGTCCAAAAGTGTCTCCATGGTTCCAACCTCACACGGCTGCACTGTTCAGAATCTCCTCTCTGGTCGGTGATTCTATAAGCGAGGACAGCACGCTTACGGTTTTGACATCAGCAGAATGCTACCCGTGGATTAACTCTGGGATTGATTGACAGAAGAAAGGAGAGCGCAGCTTTTGTTTTGGAATATGAGCAAGCAGTGCTAAAAACTATGATCCCTACAGGAGCGAGAAGCTAATCTCCACATGATGCTCAGACTGTAGCATGTGGAAATGCAGCAGTAGGAATGATAGTTATCAATTTAATTAACTGACTAATTCTTACTATTTATTTTTTGTTCTCGTTATTAGAGTGATGTTCAGTCTGTTTACACACTTGTTTTGTTGAAGATTAAGTCCAATGATCACGTTGTTTTGAGCACTGTCAGTAAGACTGGAGCTGTAGACTCTTAACTTTGAAACAGTTGGACATTGGACAATAATGTGGAGTTTTGTTTTGTCCCACCATAAAGCAGCACCAAGCTGACAGATGGTTAAAAAAAATAACTGGCGTGACTTTGAATTGTTGTTTTACACTTTAAAAGTATAGTTTGTTTTTATTACGTTTTATTTTTCAGGGTCTTCTAATTTATTTTATTTCTTTCATTAAATTGTAGAATGTTCTTCAGTTTAAAATGTATGTGATCCATTGGTTAAAAATAAATGGGTCAATTTTTCTTATACCTACTCTTTTTCACTGTTTGACTTGATCAAGACTTCTCTAAGATTTCACACTACAAAATAGGTAAAAATGTGCGATTCGTACTGATGTGGTATTGGTCAATATCGGTATCAGTCAATTCTTGAAGTTGCAATATTGGTATCGTATCTGAAGTGAAACAGTTGTATTGGGACATCCCTAGAGGTTAGTGTACTTAAAATGGACAGAAATAGCATAATGAATGTTGTTACTATGTCCTTGTTTATTTGACGTGATAATGACGTTTAATAACTAAAAACAGTTGGCTGCACAGGTTGCTGCTGCAGTTATTTTGTGGGTCAAAAGCTGCAAAGTTTGAGAACCACTGCTCTATGGTTATGCAAGTGAGTGAAACATTTAATGATACAACTTTTTGATTGCAGTGAAACTGAGTATAATGCCACAGGTCAGCTGAAGCAGCAGTAAAAAAGGCAGGGTTTAAGTCATTCTCCTAATTTTGAAAAGTGGTCTGATCGATGGAGATATGGCAAGACTGGGCCTGTCTGACCCCATTTGTCTACAACAACTCCGTTCTCTTAGACATAATGGTTACCAAGATAGGAACTAAATTAAATTTTGTTTCAAATGTCAAGATCAAACTAATTATATGTCAAGGGCATCCAGAGATGGAAACGTCTGTGTGCCGATAGTATTCACATGTTTTTGTATTCTACTTCTGCATGCATGTGAAGCCATTAATAATATTAAATTTTGCTCAGATACCTGCAGCTGCAGCATCCTCATATCAGCCACTTCCCTCTGGTCATCCTCATGCAGCCTCCTCAGCTCTTCGCAGGCCTGCTTTACATGGTTTAGCTCTCTGACCAGCTGGATGTTGTGCTGTCTCATTGCCTCCAGCTCTTCTTTCAGCTGGGTATGCTCACCCGCAAGACGTCTAAACAGAAGAATATGTAGTTATAACAAGTCTGGATCAGTGTTATTACAAAATCCTGTTAAAACTGACGATACAATTCCAACTTAATATATTTTTTGGGAGATTCAGTCACTTTAAAGTTTTGACGTTTTATATAAAATTATTTTGTTCAAAGTGGGTAAGCCATTTTATGTGCCCTATGATTTGTAATAATTTTACTTCAATCAAATTTTCCTTTTAGGAGCTGTATTTTCCCCCCCTCCCAAGTCAAGTGCTGCAGAATAAAATGGTACCAGTTACATTTGAAATATATTTGCATATTTTTTTCTTGTCTTTTGATAGTAAAATGCATCTTAGAAGGCATATTTGTGTTAACATACGTATAGCCAACAGTAGGAACAATGCAATTGTCAATGATTATGGAGTGCTAAAGCTTGCACGTGTACTAAATGACCCATTGATTTAAAGCACAACAGTCAGATCTAAATGGGTTTTCTTATTGACATTGTGTGATGCTTGCTGGATAGATGCAGGGGCAGACAGGACCGTTACAAGTAAATACTTTCTGTGCAAACAGGGTCCAGAAGGAGAGGCTTAAACATGGCAATAATCCTTCATCTGTCCCCTTGCATTTGGGACCAGATGTTAGTTGCATACACTTTTGGTTTAGTATGGCATCATCAAATCACACAAATGGACCAGCCTTTCCACCACGTCAGCTCTGCACAGCTTATTTGACGGGACTACAAAGGCTGTTTGTAAATTTACCCACATGGCACAGATGCACAGCCACACAAATCGGTGTGCTTATAATGAAAACGGCACGTGCTTCAGAAGGACAGTAATTCACTTTCTGATTTCAACTTATATCCTGAAAAGTCAGCATCAGGTTTATGATGACAAACAAATAGTTTATTATTTTTAACAACAACAAAATTTAAATTAAATTGAAGGATAACTGCAAGGATTTTGTTTTCATAGCTTAACCCAGCGACTTTTGAACTGGTATAAAAGCTTCATCCCATTACTCGTGCAAAAATAAAATCTGTCTATGCAATCTGCTGTGAATATGTCAGAGGAAGAACAGAATCTCAGCTAAACACCATGTGGGCCGAGCATGAAAGCATACAGCTCGAGTGCAGTGGCTGCTAGGGCTGCCACAAACGATTATTTTTAATAATCGATTAATCACCGATTATTTATTCGATTAGTCGACTAATCAGATCATACGTTAATTGAATATAAAAACATACAGCTTATCACGTCAGAATGCAGCTGCTATTGTATAACCATCAGATTTTAGCTATATGCTAACTAAAAATAATTGCTGTGTAAGGCAAGTTCTGCTCTGCAGATATTGCACAGGTTTCTCTTTCATTTTCTTAAAAAGTTCCCACACGTCTTGTGACATCCACAGCCTACCCCAGTTAGCACTACTGTGCATGTGTGTCAAGGACAGAAAGGCAGATGTGGCAGTGGAAGGTGTCAAAGCAGTTTGGAGAGAAAAACAAAGTAAAGAACAAAAAAACACGAGTAATCGATTATTAAATTAGTCATCGATTATTTTAATAATCGATTAGTTGTCGATTAAACATGGCAGCCNCACTACTGTGCATGTGTGTCAAGGACAGAAAGGCAGATGTGGCAGTGGAAGGTGTCAAAGCAGTTTGGAGAGAAAAACAAAGTAAAGAACAACAAAAAAAGAAAGAAAACGATTAATCGATTATTGAATTAGTCATCTATTATTTTAATAATCGATTAGTCATCGATTAATCGTGGCAGCCCTAATGGCTGCTAAAAAAATTKACAGAAAACACCCTTATAGTTGAAGTTCCACTTACCGGTAAAAGTCTGCTTTCTTCACAGCCTCCTCACACCGCTTCAGGGTGGCGCTATGCTGGTTCTGTAAGGACTGCAGGTCTGCCATTGCCTTCATGCACTGCAGCTTTAGACGCTCGTAGTCCTGACCTGTTTTTGAGTTTAGTCTATTACAAAAATAGGAGAGAGGAAAACAATGGGACAAATCTAAATCTCAGGTTTTATGAATTAAAACAAGACAGGGTAAATCAAACTTCTAATAATYTTTACATCATCTTGGACCAAAGCTAAACAAATTTTGAAGCTATCCTTTAGAAAGTGTGTGAGTACCTGCATTCTTCAAAAGTAGTTCCAGCTGAAGACAGCGGCAAACGTTTGAGTAATTCGTCCCTTTCACAAGTCACCTGTCTGAGCTGGAACAGGACCGTCTCCATCTTCTCGTTCACTCTGTGGCTGTCAGTGTTGGAGGGAAGAGGTGAGGAGGCTTGACCAGACGTACCTGTGAAAGTCAGCATGTCACTGAAGGAAAGTGCTGTTCACGTAGAGCAAATGATGGTGCTGTGGCACCACATCGTTTCAGAAAACAACAAAAACAAATACAAGAGTTTGAAGTGAGAACTATACGGAGATTGGCTTGTTTAAGGCAGAAACTCTGTGTTCGGAGGAGCTTTTAACCGTACAGATTCTTCAAACTGACATCACTTTAGCTGCTTCCAAATGCAGGGAAGAACACGACTACTCAGCTTCCTTTCTGCACGTTTCTTAATTTATATTCAATTATTGCTTAGGTAAAAAAGCAAAAATTAAACTAATACTACAGTTTGATTTACTTGCATCGCCGTTTATTAACTATGTGAGTGCGTCAATATGTTTCACAGGAAATAAACCTATTGATACAAATTGTTTTATTTTTAATAGCATGTGCCAGCCAAATCCACTGGCCTTTAGAGAATAAATGAACTGGGTCTGTGTGTGCGTGAGTGGGGGTAGACTGTTTTTACTAAATCATGCTCACATCTGTCTAATCACGTGCATGTGCTCAGAGTCTAAACAGCCAGTATTCATCTATGAGGTACTATTTATAACTGTGGCATGCTTCTTAGAATAAGCACGTTTGTTTTTCCTTTTCTAAAAAAGAAAAAAAGTATTTTTTCCTTCTTTTAAATTTAAAGTTCGTACCCCATCATCAGTACCATACCCACCTAAGCTGCTGAGTGAGCTGCTGCTTTCCGAGTCTGATGGCATGGTGGACAAGATGCTGTAAGTGGACCCTGTGAGGTGAACAAAAACATTTAAGTCAGTGCTGAGAGTATTCGCCCGTGTCTGCATTATAGTCAGATGATTATCTCCAGCATTGTGCGGAACATCAAGGCACTGCAGCTTGGGTTACAATCAGGATCTTTTAGTGGGGAAAAAAAAAAAAAAACACTGAGGGAATAAAAGCTGGGACTTTCCCCAACTTTACATGACAAGCCTTGTGGCTGACAACAGGGTAAAGCTAATTATCAAGTGGGCAGTGAGCTTGAATACATACTAACCAGGGCCCCAAAGAGACTGCAGTCTTAGAGCTTCTTCTTTCATCTCCTCTGACAACATCACACAGTCACCCCCCGCCCCTGAGGAAATCCCCTTCTTTTATTTCCTCAGTGATTCATAATTAACTGTACAGAGAAGGGAACAGGTAACATTTTGAAGATTATATTATTTAACTAAGCAATTGCTAATGAACATTAGGAGTTGGTAATTTACTTGTTTTTCTCAAGTCTGACATGCAAGAATTTTTGCCAAAATGTTTAAGCTAAAATTAGAATCAGATCAACTCCCTAACATAAGGGAAAATCTTTTAGACAAGTTTTCAAAAGATAATTAATGGCATTTGAAATCTGTAGCAACTTGTGTCACAAACTGTTGCTTCATTATCACCAGTCACTAAAAGGCTGCAGTTCAAGATGGACGCCACAGTGAACAGTTCTAAGAGAACATAAAAATAGACAGTAAATTTTTGCAGAAAATGGGCAACATTGTGCTATAGTTCTAGCTGATATTCTTTTACAACTACTACTTTATTATGTAATAATAACAACAATAAATAACAACAACAACAATAATAAAGCCAAATCAATGGGTGTATTTAAGAGAATGATAAAGCTTAGTCTGTTGGAGAAATATATAATGGTATAATGTGTAATTTATAAGAGTTGTTGCTCTAGGAGTTTAACCTTTATTTACTTCCTTTTTGTTTTTTGAAGACTATTTTAGTTTAAATTTTTTTTTTTTCAGGAAAAGGGTAGATATACATTTTTTACTTTTTCTGCTACCTTTCATTTATGATTTGTATTTTTATTGTATATAGAATTTATGCTAATTTTAAGAAATGAACAAATACCCTGAGTAATATTTTCCAAGTGTGCTCAAAATGTCTACAACGGGTGAAATTAAGTCCTTAAAGAAATTATAGGTCTATAACATTATTCAATCAGATTTCAATTTAAAATGTATGTCGTAAAAATTAAGATTAAAAAAGCACCATTACCCATCTTTTATAGAAAAATCAGTGGTGGTGGTGTTTTGTTGTCCAACAGTTCAAAACCAATTTCTATATACAAAACTAAAACTAAAAAAATAAATAAATAATTTTTTAAAAAAAAATCAAAGCGAAGTTTTGCCATTTTACTCATGTAACATCACAAATCCACTATTTACTTGAACTACATTCCTCTAAAACAGCATTTCAGGAATCTTAGTGATGCTTGAGAGGTTTAAAGAGCTGGCCTTGATCAAACAGCAGTGCACATTTACTTTCGTCTTTCTTGGCTGTAGAAAGAACAGCTTATAGTTTAGTTAAATCAGCGTCTTCTATCCCCAAAGTGAAGTAGTGCAGAGTAGACTCTGGGCACACAAGACCATGACAAACAATTCTGTTTACCCCTGTCGCAGTGCTCTAAATCAATCCCAGCTTGGCCGAATTCCCACCAACTAAAAGATACTATGAGTTAAGATTTGAGGAGTTGGGTTAACGTGGTTCTCTCCATCATTTTCCACATAGATCGACTCAAAGAAGGGGAATAAAAAAAAGACACATTATGTGCCACAGGATTCGTAGCATCCCATAGATCACACTCTTTTTGTTTTAGCTCTGGCTTGAGTTTCCCATGRCTCCGAGGAGTGCCTCAAAGGACAAGGTGCACAATGTCACAGCTCACTTGCTTTGTAAACTGTGGAAGTCATATGACCTTCACCACACAGTCTGATACTCATGACTAAAGCGCCTCATTTAAGTTTACCCACTTAGTGATCTTTGCTCATGCTGCCTTACCCAAAATGTTTCATGAGACCAAATGCAGTTCTGTACAAATGTCAGAGCCTTTTTTCCTTTTATTAATTTGACTAAAAGAAGCCAGACTTCCTTGAAAGTTTTAAATTTGCCAACAGGAACAGCCTAATAAATTATTATTATTATAGTATAT